GCTTATTCAAGATTCTGATCAAACTGTGCACGATCATTCGTGCCGTATAAATGCGCTCTAATTAAATAGTTGCAATGGAGCCAGCGATTTTTTTCAAAGGTATGTGGAACCTTTGACAGGGACACATTAGTCATATGAGGATAATGTGACAATAAAATGAAGTACGAATTAGCATCGACATATGACTAGGAGAGAATGGACGGCGTGTTTTGGTATGCTTGAGGCGCTTCACGTGCAATAATTTTCATGCACAAGAATACAATGCGCGCAACGATTTAGTAGAAGTCATCCACGATAACGTCTGCTCTCCCATGCACGCCAGGGTTCCATAGCAGAAAGTAGTCATCCTTTTGTCCATTTATTTGCATTCGCGTGCTTTATATATAAGAAGGAATATAAAAGACTGCTTGTTTCTTTTATTATGTCGCTTTAATTAAGACCCGTATTGTGTTATGGAGTGAGCCCGTTACTTAAAATTGGTATGAATGTACCATTTTTTATATTATCTATTTCTGTTAATATTCAATTAACATCACTCGAGAAGAGGTGATGTTGATAGAATGTTGCCTTCAGGGACATATTTATTTGGGTGATCCACTGGATGATTGATGTACACGGTACATCAACCAGATATACCACCAATCGCTGCTAGACGCGCGCAATGGGTGGTGAGCAAGAAACCCACATAGGAGCTTGTAGTTTAATATAGTCAGATTGAGACAAAGGTAGTTTTATCAACTATATTGAAAACAGTCCTACTTTCACCTTAAACAGAGCTTGCGAGTTCTTTTTACTTCCTCGCGCTTCCTCAACGCCACGTGTACGTGACGTCGGGATCACGCACCCTTGTATTGTTATTAACACAAAGTCTTGCTCAATTTAGAGCAAGAGCGTGCCCCGTTTCATATTGGCAACAGCGTCGTGCGTCTACAAAGTGACCATGCCGGATATCGTATACCGCGTGATACGAGAGAGTTGTTCAGCAATAGTTGTATAGTGCAGAAGTTTGGTCCGCCTTGTACATCGACTTGATATCTATTGTAAGCACTTAAATCGTGATGATTGTTAAAGCATACAGGGTCGCTTGAGGTGAAGCCATTTTATATATTACGTTACTTTTATATCTATGCTCGACTCGTACTGGTCACAAAATTAACACGCCGATCTTAAATAGGGACAAGACAATTATTTCGAGCATCAGTGTGCGCGGTTGTAATGCGTATGTTATTTACGAGTAGAAGAGCACCGATTCTACAAAAATGCGGTAGAATATTTATTGAACAGGGCATTCTTTGCATGTACAGACTAAGTACAAGCTACATAGCATATCACATTGCAGGGAGGAATCTCATATTGTCACATACACAGTACACGCAAAGAAAGGCTTGATTGCTTAATGTACACATTTATAAAGTTAAAAGTAGAAATGTTGAATACATAGTAAGTTATTTAACGCAATCTTGTTTGACCTTACTTGAAATATAATAAACTACAAATGTCAAATGTAGTTACCGAATCACCACATACTGCACGCGTCCAGCAACGATTGGTGTATAAGTTGTTTAACATAATGGACTATGTCATCCAATATCTAGAACGTTACTGAATATCACCTTTCAAGGTAGGTTTTTTATACATGTACTTAGCAAGGTAAAGATTGAAGAATATTATCAGCGATGATAACATTATTATTGACTTACTGTGATGTTAATTACATGTAACGCGCTCGACCCATTGCAATGTCCGTTCCGTGTCTGTACAACAACAATTTTGTCAGATTGAATAGCAAAATACATTGCGTGGTGGTTTTTGCATCAAGTGAAATAATTACATATTTCATCTGAAAAAAGCGAACAAAATAAAGTGTAGATCAAGGCCTTCATGCGTAAGCTCGGCGAAATTTCGGGCGATGGTGTCCGATACATGCTTAAAGACACGCAGGGTACGATCGCGTTTACAAGGAACCCTCCGTATCGCAACTAGCATGTAAACATAGATTAAGCTTTGTGCGCGGGGAGATCGAAGAAGTTTGATTACGTTGATGCACATCTCAACGCAAGTAGCGCTAGCAAATCTTTCGACGGCATCGATCGCCTTTGCTCAATATGGCACTCTTCATACCAAGTGGAAAATTCAGGTCGACGTCCGGTCAAATGGACATATTAGGAATACGATAAGTACAATGATGATTCAATGTTGCAAGTAATCTGAGTCGAAGTGCTATCGACAAAAAAAGAATGCGCGATGAGGCGATGCTTGGATGATCAAAACGTACCTAGAAGGATAAAGAATACACTTTGTCCATACATATATAACCCCCATGTTTGCTATATCTTAGCATAGATTGTAAGACGAAAGCGACTGCTTGGACATTTTGCATAAGGCAAGCACGCTGAATATATAATTTGGTAATTATCGATTTTCGAGCAGTTCGTAATGTGGTTTACATACAAACAAGACCTGTCTAAACAAGCTAAGCTGCTTACATCGAAACAAATTTACTGGAAAAAAATGATAGAGCTTAAAAGTTTGTTCGGTACTTTGTGTGGCTTATTGGCATTCTTTGAGTTGCATGAAATATATGTTTATCTATCTGAAGATAATATAGAAATGTTCTGCAGACATGGCAGGCCGTGTAGCGTCGAGTGCAGTGCGGGATGGATAAATCACCTGCGTACGTGTGTAAGAGCTGCACTCAAAATTGAACAAGCCTATATTGATCGGGTCCAAGGAGATTGTTGGACAAGCCGTGTTAAGGATAAAAACGGACCTCGCGAGGCTGTTTAAGCTTGACGTTGAGTGCTATAAGCGCAGCTTCTATCCCTTTTAATGTCGCAGACTATCATGCCTACGCTTGAAGTTATCCATCGTCACACCGGATCACAATATAGCAAGGCAGCTTTAGGCTACGATACAGGTGATAATGGGTACGACGTAGGTAGCAATCGATTCATCTGATGAGATGGATAGTCCCATGTTGACAGCCTCAATGGCTTCAAGAACGACTGATGATACCTGCTTTCTTAGCTTTGTGATATGGATGATATACGGCAGAAAGGCGGTCAAATGATCATATTATGTGTCACATCTAATGCGACGAGTGAATATGAGCGATTTTATAGCTTGCCGACGAGCGCTCACACACTACCTTATACAACGTCCGGCGTCTTATCTTTGTCTTTCCATTAGATTTCTTTGCCAACCACACATGTCTACAGGACATAACATCGCTGAAACACGTACTAAGCAAACTTTTGTTTTGAGCAGCATTAAAAAATATACTGAAATGACCAGAAAGCCTATACAGTCTACATTAGAAACAAACTTGAACTTGAAGTTCATCGTAGTAGATCGGGCTTACGCATATATAAACAGAAATGCAACGTCAAGAAATTTATCTTCATTTATTCAGAGCGGGTAGCTTTTGCTTTCATATATGAGCCTCGTGACCTCAATGACAAAATGATGCATTGAAGTCATCGTATCACGTGGCAAAGAGGTATTTGTAATCTAACGCAGTCGTAGTTTAATGATGATAATTTGAACAAATTGTTTGGCCTGAGAAAACTTGTTTTTTGCCCACGTCCCATTGTGACATTTGTGTAAGAAACGCCCTCAGATTATTAAAAACTAGTCGAGCACACGCGGAACCTAATCGATTGTCTTGCAGAATTCATTGAAGAAAAACAAATGAAGCCTGGCTTTTTGCCGAAAGAGACGCACCATCAGACAGAAGAATACTAAATACACAAGAGATGTGTACTACACGCCTGACTCTATATGTTGAAATCATTTCGATACAATCACGCACAGCCACTTCTGTTTCTCTTCTAATTCATTGCGTAATATGTGTTTATGCAAAATGTCAACAGCCGTATCCCACACACGAAAATGCGCGTTGACGCTTCATACGTAGCCCATCAATGGTGCCGATTGTTAGATGAAGGCCAAGTAGCTTCTTCTCTTGTACCCAACTTTTGTTGCTTAACATTGTCGTAATGTGTAGCAGGAATTTGGGTCGAATCGCTTGATGAATTCGAGGTGCAATCGAGGCAGTATGAGATGAAGTATCGACAAGCAACAATATCGATACAAGATTGTGAAGAATTGACCGGAAAATGTGGATGTGCTTGCAGGTGGTCAAGCAGATGCTTGCGGGTACATAAAAGAGATTGCGCGTTCACTAAACACGCAATGCTAATGAGATATTCGGTCGTCACACATACGGAGCTGCGGATGGTGGTAGATAGGGCGGCATCACTATGAATATGGCGGTAGGATGATGCGAAAATAGATGCAAACATTGTTATCTGCAGCGGAGAACATATTGCACGTAAGCGTTGCAGCTCGTTTCTCTGGGTCCACTTCGCACATGAGATACAGTGTATTGATCCATCACTGGGCTAAAAACATGGAACAAAGTCACTCTACATGCGAGGACATTGACGTATGATGCTCGCATCGTGGCAACCATGTACTCTGTGGCAAGCGTATCGGTGTGTCAATAACTTTCATGTTGTGTAACTATGTCATCAATGGAGGCAAACGAGTAGTCTGGCACCTAAAAGTAGCCGGAATTGCTCTGTTATCGAGTGTGCTACAAGACTTCCGCAAACATTATCAAAACGTCGGTGGGTGTCCATGTGATCCCCATCACGTGCATGTCCGGTCAATTACAGTCGATGAGTTTGGCGCTTTTATCGCTCTATTACTCGAAGCTTTTGTCCATGTTGTTGTGCCTATCAAAACACTGCATCATGTTGCGAAGATGTTTCGGTTCCGCAAATATCGCGTTCATCTTTAGATCCACTTTCTCTTACTCAATGCATTTCTTTATCGATGTTCGTCTTTCGTGCAGCTCAATTTGCGATCACAGGCGCTTAACTATCAATTTTCAGCGTCTTCGACATACAAAAGCGACGGCCACAGCACTTCCGGACAACTGCATCGCCGACAACGCCATCGGAACGCCAGCGCCAGAAACGCGTCACCCGCTCCACATGCCGCGTCGCCAACTGCTTCAATGCGCTCACGTCGCTGCAGCAAAGCGACCGCCAACTGCTTCACCTGCTCCGCTCAATGTACGACGACTTGCTCTCCTTCGACCGCACTTTGTCCGCGTGTTCCAATTCACGGCCGCTGTTGTCCACACGTTTTACTTCCCACATACACGAGCGGGCAATAGTCGCGTCCGGTTCCTGTCGTCCACTAGGGCTTCGGCACCCAGCGACTCCTTTGCCTCGTTCGCTGCGTCAGCACAGCGCGATCTGGTCGAGATCCAGGACGCCGTCACCGCTGCACACGTCGAAGAACGAGTCGCCGCGTTGCGGGACAACGCCGCTGACCCGAAGCTCTGGGACGACGCCACGAACGCCACGGCAGTGCTGCAGCATCTCGCTGCACTCGAGTCCCAATTGGCTCAAGCCCGTGACTTGGACCGCCAGTTCGTGGATACCAAGGCGCTCTACAACATGGCCGCAGAAGAGCAGGACGAGCTCATGCTCGAGGAGTGTACACGGGCGATGGCTGCAGTGCGGGCGGAATCGCAGCAGCTTCGACTCGGACTTGTGCTGGGGCACGAAAGCGACAGGCGTTCGTGCTTTATTGAGATCAAAGCCGGTGCGGGCGGCACCGACAGCTGCGACTGGACGGCGATCTTGGCGAGGATGTATGCGCGCTGGGGCGCTGCTCGTGGTTTCCATGTCCAGCACGTTGACGAGTCGGCTGGAGACGAAGCTGGGTTTCGATCGGTCCTGATGCGCGTGGAAGGCGTGTCGGCCTACGGATGGGCCAAGTGTGAAGCGGGTGTACACCGTCTTGTGCGCATCTCGCCGTTCGATAGTGCCCGGAGGAGACACACGTCGTTTGCGCAAGTGCGTGTGTACCCCATGGCTACTGAAGGTAGCGCTGACGACCAAGTTGAGATGTCCACCAAGGACGTACGCATCGATACGTTTCGATCGTCGGGGCCTGGTGGACAGCATGTGAACTCGACCGACAGTGCGATCCGAATCACTCATTTGCCCACGGGCATTGTCGTGCAGAGCCAATCCGACCGATCACAGCATCGAAACAAGGCTGAAGCGCTGGCGATGCTGCGAGCGAAGCTGTACCAGCGAAAACTTGACGAAAAAGCTCAAGCCAGGCATGCAGCCACTCAGGATCTCGGGGACAACGCGTTTAGCAACCAGATCCGGTCGTACGTGCTGCATCCGTACCAGCTCGTCAAGGATCATCGCACAAACTACTCGGAAAGTAACACGGCTCGAGTGCTTGATGGTGGTATTCACCGATTCATCGAGAAGATGCTTCTTCACAAAACAATGTCCACCAGTTCTACAGAGGGGCAATCGAGCTGATGAATACATACGGTGCTTCATCCTGTCGGGTTCGTCGCAGCGCGTGTCCTCCACTGTAGCGCTCTCTACGACACGACGAGCGATCTCAGCGAGCAACACATCGTGCGGGCTGCCGAGACATTACAAGTGCGTGTCATTAGACCAGCCAAGACTTCGTCAAGTCCGTTTACCACGTCTCGTTCCTCCATAGTACGACGACGACGCATAACATTTGCTGCCAGAACAAAGTCTTCGTATCAATAGGACTCGTCCCCGCAATTCGCCATCGGTCTGCACAGGTACTGTTTCCCCGAAAGCCTCCCAGCTATCATCGCCTGGCACAAGCATTCAGCCTTCAACAGCACACACTTGCATCGACCCGGGATGCAACTTGCCGTACACTATTACTACTTGATTCGAACAATGCGCTTTCGCTAATCGCCGACGCTTACGTTTCAGCGATCCACAAGACGAATGAGGACTGCCTTAACTTCGGATGATGTCAATCATATTTGGCACATCCTGCGCCTAGCCACGATAGCGGCCTAACCTGTGTATGCGCTCGGTATCCTCATTGCGATAGATGGCTGCCCAGGGACTCGGTCTCGCTCAACGCCCCAAGTATTCCGCCCACAGTTCCGTCTTTCTTCCAACCCAAAATGTGCATTGAGGCAGTCCAACAAATGGACGCAGTGAATCAATCCATCCATTGAGCTCTGGTACGACGGATCGTACACTTCTATTGGGTCGAGTCATGAATGCGCCTGGCAAAGTACGTGCAACGCCATTTTGCTACCACTGCAAGTGTTACAAACACCAAAAGCGGCAGTGTACTTCACAACCAGCTCATACGGTGGCCCAATGTATCTACATACCACGTTCGAAACAGATACACAAAGGTGCGCATCTCCACAGTGCAGTATCTTCGCTTTGCAGTGTACTCGCAGAAGAAGCAGGCGGCGACAATATCGCGCTGTGCGCCACGTCAAATTCGGACTCGATACATCTTTGACGCACATGTTGAACACGACGCTGCCCTATTGAGTCTAGTAAAACGATTCAGCCGAGACGACAGCTCCATAGTAAACAAATGGTAAGCCACATAACCGGATGCAAGAGCAAGAAGCGACGTGGCCTTATGTCAAACGATAGGCATCACTTTTTAGCTACGCTTAAAGGAGTGTCTACGCTCCTTTCGTCGTGCCATACGACTACTGTTGACAATATACATATGAAGGTATCTACGGATTCAAATAGAAGGAGTAAAGAAGCAGATATACGTGAATGTACATGAACGAAGATAAGCATGTGTACAGTCGGTCGTGTTGTATACATCTGTGGTGCATTTTATTCGTTTTTGTTTTGTTGGTGCAGCATTTAATTTTCTCCATCTTTTGGTGAATTTTACAATGCACACATCATGTCATGCATCTTTATTTCGTGGCAATCTTATGCATGTCCTCTCTTCCGCGAATTTCTACCATGTCAAAAGCAGTCCTTAGCGATGCTGCAGAGCTTGTCACTAGCTAGTACACGCCAGGCGAACATACGCGAGTCGAATGTGGCACCAATGTCGGATAAAGTGACTTATCTTGACTGTTTTTGCATTTATTCGTGCTCCTGACTCACATTACCCCTGTTAAAACTGTTCTCGAATGTAGTGTTGATTCATTCAGCATGATTGAAGCGCGATGGAAAACATGATGTATAATGGGTAGTGATTGCCAGTGTGCAGATTTTCCAGTGCTTGTATCGTATAAAAAATTCCTCGGCTGGTATGTGAGGCCTCCACTATATGTGGTGCAAGACCACGATCGATGAAGGGTGCGAGGAAGTTTATAGTCGGTGTGCGAGCTTTTATTTCTCTGCATCAATGTCAACGACATGTTGCGGGATCGATTATCATAGTTGCAATTCTCGCAGTACGTGCAATACGCTTAATCTATGTGCTCTATCTAGTCGTCACCTTGCGGAAGTATCCTCCAACTTCCGACATAGCGGTCAATCATCGCGAGTTTCGGTTTTGTCTGACGTGTAGATCATATTCTCCACTTTCGAAAATCCTCAACCATCGATCCAAATTACAACGTACGTTCCTCCAAAAGCGTGGATCGAAGAAACACAGCAGTGTTGTCGATAAGCGCATCAGTCAGGGGTGCTTGCGTCTCTCCATGCGTATTGGCGACACTGCTTCATTATTGTTCCTCATAGCGGTCACGCCACATACCTTGGCGCAAACAGACGCCTGCCAAACTTAATACTCGGACCATGCATGATCAAAAGCCAGGACGCAGACCACAGGATAGAAGCTAGACGTCAATTTGTAGGACGGGGCTCGTTCAGGTGACAAAACCGGTACCAGTACATACTGCTCCCTACACGGTATCCACATACTGGGGCACAACAACAAACGGTATCCGTTAACAGGCCATGGCGATGAGGTCGCGGCGGACACTTGCGCTCTTCAGTAGCGCGTTAGTGCTGCGGTTGGCGCTACTTCTCTACGGCCGTTTCCAAGATCTGTATCTGGCCGTCAAGTATACGGACGTGGACTACGACGTGTATACAGATGCAGCACGGGAGATCGCAGACGGCCACTCGCCTTTTGAGCGCACGACGTATCGGTATACTCCGCTGCTGTAAGTGTGGCGCTCTTTGTACCGCTGGCGTTGACGTGCAATCGTACTTACTGCAGTATCGTCCTGCGTGTGGTGGAATGAATCATAGAGCGGTGTTGTTACTACCCAACATTTACGTGCACGAGGATTTTGGAAAGGTGCTATTTGTGGGCTGCGACCTGCTGGGGGGATCCATTTTGTATCGGATCTTGAGACGGCGAGGACTCCCCGATACGGGTGAGGACTGACGAAACGGTAATCAGGTGCTGTGGTTGATGCACTCGGAATCTGACTTGTTGTATGGTGCCTGAACCAACAGACGCTGTCAACTATTGTTGGTAGGAAATGACGTTGCATTCAAAAGTGGGTGTCATCAACTGTTTTGTAACGGGATGCTGCTGGCACTGTGGCGTTGGCGATTGGGTAGCGTGTGGCTCTTTCACCCGTTCTCAGTGAACATCTCGACGCGAGGAAACGCAGACTCGATTGTCGTGCTTCTAGTGCTGCTGTCATTGCTGCTGATCATGCGCAAGCAACTCGTGCTGTCGGCTGTCGCGTACGCTTGATCTCTAGCTTTTACCTCTTCTTATTATATTGCTGCAACCGCTGGTGAGTCTCATTTGCGGTGTGCTGTGGATGGCTAGATACGGCGCTGCCGTTCACTTCAAAATCTTCCCTATCGTCTATGCACTGGCGTTCCTTGTGGTACGTGCTTACGCTCTGTGGTGAAGGACGATGCTTGGTGATTGACAATATCGTGGTGCATGCTTTGTGTTGTTGACTAGTTCCTCAATGGTGACTTCACAGCAGCACGTGTCACACAGGCTTCATCGGGCAGTTCTTTACTTTGCTATTGCAAGCGGCAGCTGAATCGTGACCGCGTGACTTTCGGTCTTGTCAGTGGAGGGCTGTTCGTCTTTCTTGCAGCCGGCTGCTATTATCTGTGCGTATGACTGCTTGCTTATGTTTGAGGCTCAGCTGACATGACAGTCTAACGATTTCGCCTTTTTTACAACCGTGATCTAGTTACGGATACCAGTGTCTGTATGAAGCTTATTTTTACCACTTCACGCGCACCGACAACCGCCACAATTTCTCGCTCTACTTTTACAGTCTATATCTCCGATACAACACTCCGTCGGGTTTCGGGGTGGGCCTTCTGGCTTTCTTACCTCAGCTGACATCACTCGTTGCGATATCGTCAGCATATGGTCGCGACTTACCCTTCGCGCTGTTTGCACTGACCATGGTCTTTGTGATCTTCAATAAAGTGTGCACGGCACAGGTACGCGAAATGCAATACGTGCGCGAAGCGCAACTCGATTGAATTATCACTGACGCATTCTGATCTCGACGCAGTACTTCTTGTGGTACATTGCTTTCCTCCCTCTCGTTTTGCCGCAGACAAGCTTGGCATTCAAGTGGAAAGGCGTGGCGATGATTGCCGCGTGGCTTGGAGGCGAGGTAAGGAAGAAATGCTCGGCGTACTACGCATTTCGAGGGACCGCATTGACCGTACTTCTTCTGTGCCTTCCTTGTTTGCAGCTTCACTGGTTGTTCTGGGCGTATCACTTGGAGATGCAAGGCGTCAACACCTTCTTTTCTCTCTGGGTGGCCGGTCTCATCTTCTTCTCCGTGAACGTCGGTATTCTAGCCGCATTCATGCGCTGCCACTCGTTCACGCCCTTGTTCCACAAGGACAAAGTCCTGCACTTGGTGCCAAGCAGCCGAGGTCAACTTGAATGATACCCGATGGTCAATACCGGAAATCGACTATCGTGCAATAACGACTTGTTTCGATTGCTTTGACGTCGCGAAGCATCTGCCCATATCACCACACGAACCCACACACATATTCGTCGCGTATGTTACTAAGGTAAGACAATGTATTGACAATATATACTTCGTAGCTGGTACATACATACATCAACGCAACTAATGACACAACCAAACGCTCTCGGCGATCAAGAACCACTCGCTCAGTGTGCAATGACCTTATACGCACGCTCGACCGGTGCGCATTTCGTCAACGGCGCATACCTCACGTTGTTGTTGGCCTTCAGTCGTACGAGGTGCTTCATGTCCACGACCTGGGCATCCTCCCCAAAGTGCACCTTTTGCACATTCGCTTGCAAGAGCTGCGGCGCCTTGTACGTCTTCAGCAGCAGCGACGACGTGACAACCGACACGGACGAGAACGCCATGGCGAGGCCGGCGCACGCAGGCGGCATCATGCGGTGGATCAGCGGGAAGAAGATGCCCGCGGCCAGCGGCAGACCGACCAAGTTGTAGACGACCGAGAGGAAAAAGTTCAACTTGATGCGCGCGAACACCACGCGAGCCAAGTCGAGCGCCACCACCACGTCCGTGAGCGCACTCTTGACCAACACCATGTCGGCTTCGGCCTTGGCGATCTGCGTGCCGGCCCCAATGGCCATGCCGATGTCGGACTGCGCCAGTGCCGGAGCGTCGTTGATGCCGTCGCCGACCATACACACGACGCGCGGCTTCAGTGTTAGCGGGTTCACCTGCGACTGCAGCGCCTTGATCTGAGCCGCCTTCTCGCCGGGCAGAGCCACGGCCTTGACATGGTGGATGCCCATCTGGCGAGCAATCGCACTGGCCGTGCGCAAGTTATCGCCAGTGATCAGCCACACGTCGAGGCCCATGGACTTGAGGTACTTCACGACCGCGGCCGCTTCCGGTCGAGGAGCGTCTGCCAGCGCAATCAGACCCACGAGCTTGTTCGCCACACACACCAGCACCACCGTCTTGCCCTCCAGCTCCAGCTCGTGCATCTGGTCCCGCATCTTGTCGCTCACATCAATGCCCTTCGCCTCGCAGTACTCCAAGTTGCCAACCAGCACAGTCGCAGGTGTGGCGCGAGACGTGACCGCACTGGCTGCGACTGTGCCTTCGATCCCGCGTCCAGGCACCACGTGCACGTCGCTCGGATCGTGCAGCTCCATCTTCTCGTACTCGGCGGCTGTCCGGACAATGGCTTTGCCGAGAACGTGCTCACTCACGCACTCGAGCGATGCGCTGTAGTAGAGAAGTTCGCGTGCCGTGTACGCGCTGTCGGCCACCACTACATCGCGCACGGACGGGTGGCCGACGGTCAGTGTGCCCGTCTTGTCGAACACAATCGTGTCGATGTAGCGCGCGGTCTCGAGTGCGCGGCCGCCCTTGATCAAGACGCCGTGTTTGGCACCGACGCCACAGCCGACCATGACCGCCGTGGGCGTCGCAAGCCCCAACGCACACGGACACGCAATGACCACGACCGTGATCGCGTACAGGACGGCCACGTACAAGTCTTCCGAGTGGCCGGCCGACGCCTCCATTCCAAGGCTCACCTTCCACTCCACGGGAACGAGCCGCAGCCGAAGAAGCGTGATCCACGCGATGAACGTCATGATCGATATCCCGAGAACGCATGGAGCAAAGATGGACGCCAACCAGTCTGCGTACGCCTGAATCGGAGCTTTGTTGAGCTGGGCGTCTTCGATCAAAGCGCAGATCTGCGACAGTGCCGAGCTCTCACCGCCCATACAGCTCGACTTGATCACCAGCGCGCCTTGCTGGTTCACCGTCGATCCAAACACGTAGTCGCCCTCTTTCTTGGCCACGGGCATACTCTCGCCCGTCAGCATCGACTCGTCCGTGGAGCTCGACCCGGACTTGACCACGCCGTCCGTCGGGATGTTGGCCCCCGGACAAATCCGGAGCAAGTCTCCACGCTGCACCAGCTCGATCGGGATCTCGCGGTCGCGTTCGCCCTCCTTGACGAGCAACGCCGTCTTGGGCTGCAGGTTTGCGAGCTCGGACAGAGCGTCCGCCGTCTTGCCCTTCGCCATCGACTCCATGTACTTGCCAAGCGTCACGAACGTCAGTAGCATTGCGGACGACTCGAAGAAGTGGTGGCCGTGGTAGTCTTTGCTCAGTGTCGACCCGATCAACGACACGAAGCTGTAGATGTACGACATGGTCGTGCCCGACACGACGAGGAAGTCCATGCCCATGACCCCGTGCTGCAGACCCTTCCACGCTGCCACGTAGAACCGCCAGCCCACGCCGAATTGCACCGGCGTCGCCAGCACAAACAGCAGCAGCATCTTGAGCGACACGGCATTGAACACGGGCGTCATGAGCAACATCTCCACTGCCGGAATGTACATGAGCACCATGTGGATGAGCATCGCCGGCAGCGCAAAGATCATCGACACTGTCAGCAGCTTGCGCCACTTGCCCACTTCCGACTTGCTCAGCGCGTTCTGGTCCGTCGTCTTGAGCGCCACGTCGGCCGAGTAGCCCAACCCGGTGATGCACTCCAGCACGTCACGTGGACCCGTCTGCGACAGCTGCTTCAGGTGCACGTGCGCCTTGTTCGCCGGCAGGTCGACCACCACTTTGGTGACACCGGACAGGGCCTTCACGGCCGACTCAATCGCGTCCACACAGGCCGCAGAGCTCATGCCCGTGACGGTGAACGTGAGCTCGAGCGAGTCCGCGTCGCCCGGCTCCACCACGTGCGAGAACGTCGCCTTGTAGCCGGCGTCCTGGATGAGTGTCTGGAGTGTGCTCTGCCCGTCGTCGATCAGGTCGCGGTCGAACGACACTTCGGCCTTCTGGCTGATAAGCCCCACGCGGCAGTACAGCACGCCCGCTGTCTTGCTCAGGTGGTCCTCAATGGCCTTGACACACGCGGCACAGCTCATGCCTTCGACGTGGAACACGGCGCGTGGGTGGCCCGCGGCGTCCGGCACGTCCAGGACCACGTCCTCCATCTCGGCTTGCAGCTGCTTGTCCTTCTGGGCCTGCAGCTTGATGGCCGCCGCCTTGGCCGCGTCGTAGGCACTGGCCTCGAAGCCCACGCACTCCACTGCGTCCACGAGCTCGTCGAAGGTCGGGCGGCTGCCGCCGTCGCGCAGCACTACAGTGGCTTTGCGCTCGCTGAAGCGCACGACAGCGCTGGCCACGCCGTCGACGCCCCGCAGCGCGTTCTCGACCGTCGTGCCGCAGTTCTTCTGGCACATCATGCCCTGCACCAGCAGCTCGAGCGTCTCTGCGTCCGACGCGGTGTTCGTCGCGTCGTCCCGCGCGACTGTCTTGACAGCGGCTCGAAAGCCCACGTTCTCGACGGCGTCCACCAAGTCACGCGGTGCCACTTGGACGCCTGCAATGCACTCGACCCGCGCGCTGCGCTCGCCAAAGTTGACGACTGCAGTGGCCACGCCGTCGACGCGGCGCAGCGCGTTCTGTACCTTCGAGCCGCAGAACCTCATGCACATCATGCCCTCCACCGCGAGCTCGAGCACTTCGGAATGCGAAGCAGCTGCCACCATCTGTTGCTGCTGTGGGTGGCCTCTTGGTCTGCGCAAGACGGCGGTAATTGGAAAATGAACGACAAATGAGCGCGCGGTGAGTGCGCAATGAGTGCGCAATGAGTGCGCAGTGAGTGCGCAGGAGGAGGTCCAGTACGTATGGGGTCGCGCACTGTCCCAGCAACTCGCGGGTTTCCCCTGTCCTTTCTTCGCTTTCTTTTCCCTTGCTAAGTATACAGGGTACCCACACATTGCGCACTTTGCTCTGCTGCTGAAACAGCTGGTGCCGTGGAAACGCTCGAGTGCTTGTTTTTCGCAGAGCCCGATCCGATGCGAAGTGCGCGCAGGGAGCAGATGGCGACGCGAGGCCGCCCCGATCTTGACCCACGGAGCTCGAGAAACACATGTGGCGCCTCGCGACAACGCGAAGATCGACGGCACTGTCTGCGCTTTCTCGGGCCACTGGATCTCTTCCGATCGACGCGGCTCATCGCTGTGTCTGCGACAGGGGAATGGACGCGACGATTGCGGGCACGAAACGTGCAATCGTGACAAGTGCTTTCGGTGCCACTCCCGGCCCGTCATTCTTTTCGGCTCAGCAGAAACACGTGGCGGGCAAACACGACCCATGGAGTGCCATCGCCGATACGCCTCGAGTGTGGACGTTTGCAAGCCGTAGGACAAGACACGCGCTATTGCTATGTTGGAGACACGGACGACGCAAACAGTCGGCGCGATCGTACACTCGCGCGCCTTGCAGCAAGGAAAAGAAGCGCGAGCAAGGAACGCGGCATCAAAGAGCTTGGGATACGCAGGAAACTGCCACGGGCAAAGAAAAAGCGCCGATAACTGAATTGCTTGCGTCCAGAGCAGTCCATCTGGCAACTTGGGTGCACCAACCAGCAGTGTGAAATCTTTGGTGGTCCAGCGGATACAGCGACGGTACGCGGCAACGTCGAGTACGTGTGCAACCATATGCGCGACCGTCCTTGGCTGTGGAGGGCTCTTGAAGGACGGACTATCTGTAGCTTGTAAGGACCGCGGTCGCTGTCTGCTTGCAACGTTGGAATCGGTGTGATTGCAAGCCCCACGGCCGAAGCTGCTCGTGAGCGTACGTACGGCAAGATGTCGAGACTCCCCGGCAGCTACTTTCTATGTGTGTGTCTTTGGGCCTACCTTTGCGTCCGTCTGTCGTTTGTAAGCCACCTGTGCGCACGCACGCACGCACGTGATAAGTGATCGAGCGCGAGCAGTGCAAATCAGCAAACAGCAGACGCTCTGGGACGGCAAAGTTTCTTCACATCCGATGCTACGACGTCCGTCTATCAACAATTGCAGCATCACCATCACCAGCTCAACAAGCAGCGACTTACCAGCAGCTGTCAGAACGGGGGGAGGATGCTGCTTGAGGATACGCCAGAGCTCGCAGAAACGCCACGGAGGGAACGACGTCGACAGGTTCGCTGGCGTTGGCTGATTGAAACCGTCTGTGTTTTTCCTACGTGGCCGAAATGTTCCGATTTCTGTTGTTTATTGACTTGCTTTTGGTAGAAAGTAGAGTCGTCGAAACGAGCAGAGGAATGGTACATTGGGAGAGCAGTGGCTGACTTTATCGTGCGTGTGGCCGGACGTCCTCTCTGTGGCTACCAGCACAACAGCGTTGCAGCGCACAAGTGTGTTCCGTATCACTTGCAGTCGATGACATACACTGACTTTTTGTCGTGTCGAAGTCCACTGCAACGTGCACATGCGCCACGTGAAAGTACACAAGCGAAGACAACGGTCTGTCGCAAAGATGCAGCCGCCGAGAGCGCTTGTGCTGCTGCAGTGTATTAAACCGATCAAGGATGCGACTGGGCTGAGATTTGGTGCGATTACATGTTGCAACTTCGCTGGCAAACAAAGGGGCGCGCCCAGTACTCAGTCTCCTGACTTCCTTGTAGTCTACTGACTACAAAGGCGTCCGCGGCCACACTTCGTAGGCGAACGACGAGCGGACGTTGCTGCAGTAAACGACTCGGTACAGAGAAGTGTGTGTGTGGCATGGGATCAACAAGGTGCGTAGGCGAGTACCACAGCCACGGCTTTGCAGCGCTCGGAGGAGCGTGCAAGTGGCAAGTGCAGCGTCGAAAGAGACTGATTTGCTGTCACACGACCACGACAAACAGTCGAATGAGGCGAACGACTCTGCGAGCACTGTGCGTCACAGTGTAAACTGCAGCGAACGAATAGCCACAGACATTCGATCGGCGACCTGCGTCGACTGCTGTTCATGTTGGTGCGTGCAAATCACTTTTCGATAGCGCCCAGACCCCTGCCATAAAGTTAAAGGTAAGGCGGTCGGCTACACAGCGCAGCCATTCTTTGCTCCTTCGCCGCGCTAGCGTCAGCGGAAGCGCAACTACCGCCAAAGCGCAGTTGCGGTCGTCACATCACGTGACAAACAGCACAGTTACGGGTGTGTGTTCCCCTTTTTGTAAGGCGAAGATCCGGCAATGGTTTGCAGACATATGGAGAATAAGAGCGCGTGGGTGGGTGGGGGTGTAGTTGCACGTGTCGTCCGAGATTTGCTCTGCGGGTAAAGGCCGAAGGTGCTCTCTTGCTCGGGCATGGGACAGCAATGTTTACGCCAAATTGGCTTCAGCATTGGTGTCGCAGCAGAGCGAGGAGGCGTCGTCTTGCGAGACGACGTCATTAGTGTTTGCGTCACTCCCATCCAGCTTTTTTCCGCTGCCCCTTTTCGCCTTGTGTAGAGTTTGGGGGAGGCATTTCGCACATGATGGGCGCTCAAAGCTCAAGCAGAAGGACAACAACGTCGCTCGTCGCGCTCCAGAGAAAGAACGAGCCCATCACATACGCACACACACACACACACGTCGTGTTTGTATCGTCGCGTTGACAAGATGGAGGAGGCGGTGCATGAGTGGCACGCTATTTGAGACACTCGGCAAACCTCTACCCAACCTGCGTCGTCTGCCGGACATGACGTTGTTGCCGCATGGAAAAAGTGGACTTGCGCCAAACTTGTGTTTTACGCGCACAAAAGGGCAGTGTGTAGGAAATACGCGTTTTACGCAGCGGGAGAGTTTGGTGAGTTACTGACCGGTTTTGCATCGGCGTGGAATGGGTTCAGGTCGGATTGCACGTATTGTAGGACGTGGAAGAACCCGAGACGTCCGTGTCGTCTGTGCGACCGACGGACCGGTCCCGCGTCGACGTGTCGTTGAAGGGCAATTGTTGACTGAAACCGACACGTCGGTGCGGCGGTAGTCATTCTATTTCTGCGTTTCACCAGTCGTCGTGCAGAGTGGTCCGACGTCTGACCGACACGCGCGGCGTCCACGCACGTCTGGCTCACAGAGCTACGCGCGACCCGTCGGAACGCCTCAACTTGTCGCTGCAGCGCCTTGCGATCCATCACAGCATCGATAGCCGACCCAAGAAGAGAAGCGGTCGGGTCCAGAGACCACAAGCAGAAGAGAAAGTCACTTACGTACACACACCCACACACACTGACAACACGTACCCACACACGTACCCACTCACTCACTCGTCTCGTAATCGTCAGTCGCCATCATTTCGATCTCTGCAGAGAAACCCGAAACCGCTTTCTAGTCAGTCAGTCAGTTAGTTAGTCGCGCGTCGACTAGGAATAAGACCTCCTCCCTCCCCCTATGGTTTACCCCTCGAGGTGGCCCAACGCCTCGTTCGGTGGCCGTCCATACCAACCCAAAGAGTCGTCCAAGCTCCGCCCTCGTAACTAACTGACTGTGTCTGGGCGTGTCGGTTGCCCGCACAACCAAAGAGCCCAACGAACGCAACGACAACACATCGAAACGCTCAGAAGGCATTTCGCGTCGTCTAAAGTCTCAGCACACGGAGCACGAGAGACAGTCGCTACTGACCCATTTGCTCCACTTGAATCCCCATCCACCGCAACGACTGCTGCCGCTACGACCGGCACGAGCGGACCAATGACCAGGACAACGGCCGAATCCGCGTCGGACGCAGAGACGCTCGAGCTGCTGGTGCAGGGCATGATGTGCCAGAAGAACTGCGGCACGACGGTCGAGAACGCGCTGCGGGGCGTCGACGGCGTGGCCAGCGCTGTCGTGCGCTTCAGCGAGCGCAAAGCCACTGTAGTGCTGCGCGACGGCAGCAGCCGCCCGACCTTCGACGAGCTCGTGGACGCAGTGGAGTGCGTGGGCTTCGAGGCCAGTGCCTACGACGCGGCCAAGGCGGCGGCCATCAAGCTGCAGGCCCAGAAGGACAAGCAGCTGCAAGCCGAGATGGAGGACGTGGTCCTGGACGTGCCGGACGCCGCGGGCCACCCACGCGCCGTGTTCCACGTCGAAGGCATGAGCTGTGCCGCGTGTGTCAAGGCCATTGAGGACCACCTGAGCAAGACAGCGGGCGTGCTGTACTGCCGCGTGGGGCTCATCAGCCAGAAGGCCGAAGTGTCGTTCGACCGCGACCTGATCGACGACGGGCAGAGCACACTCCAGACACTCATCCAGGACGCCGGCTACAAGGCGACGTTCTCGCACGTGGTGGAGCCGGGCGACGCGGACTCGCTCGAGCTCACGTTCACCGTGACGGGCATGAGCTCTGCGGCCTGTGTGGACGCGATCGAGTCGGCCGTGAAGGCCCTGTCCGGTGTCACCAAAGTGGTGGTCGACCTGCCGGCGAACAAGGCGCACGTGCACCTGAAGCAGCTGTCGCAGACGGGTCCACGTGACGTGCTGGAGTGCATCACCGGGTTGGGCTACTCGGCCGACGTGGCGCTCAAGACGACGGACCAGAACGCGCTGAGCAAGTCGGAAGTGGGCAAGTGGCGCAAGCTGCTGACAGTGTCGATGATCTTTGCGCTGCCGGCGATGCTCATCCACATGGTGCTCATGTACATTCCGGCAGTGGAGATGTTGCTCATGACGCCCGTGTTCAATGCCGTGTCGCTCAAGATGCTGCTGCTGTTTGTGCTGGCGACGCCGGTGCAATTCGGCGTGGGCTGGCGGTTCTACGTGGCAGCGTGGAAGGGTCTGCAGCACGGGGTCATGGGCATGGACTTCCTCGTCGTGTCGGGCACGACCATGTCGTACATCTACAGCTTCGTGTCGTTGATCGGGTCGACGCTGAGCAAAGACTACCACGGCCGCCACTTCTTCGAGTCGTCAGCAATGCTACTGACGTTCGTGACGCTTGGCAAGTACATGGAGTCGATGGCGAAGGGCAAGACGGCGGACGCTCTGTCCGAGCTCGCAAACCTGCAGCCCAAGACGGCGTTGCTCGTCAAGGAGGGCGAACGCGACCGCGAGATCCCGATCGAGCTGGTGCAGCGTGGAGACTTGCTCCGGATTTGTCCGGGGGCCAACATCCCGACGGACGGCGTGGTCAAGTCCGGGTCGAGCTCCACGGACGAGTCGATGCTGACGGGCGAGAGTATGCCCGTGGCCAAGAAAGAGGGCGACTACGTGTTTGGATCGACGGTGAACCAGCAAGGCGCGCTGGTGATCAAGTCGAGCTGTATGGGCGGTGAGAGCTCGGCACTGTCGCAGATCTGCGCTTTGATCGAAGACGCCCAGCTCAACAAAGCTCCGATCCAGGCGTACGCCGACTGGTTGGCGTCCATCTTTGCTCCATGCGTTCTCGGGATATCGATCGTGACGTTCACGAGCTGGATGCTGCTGCTCTCGGTGGACGCTGTGCCTCTGCAATGGAAGATCGACTTGGGCGTCTCCGTTGGCGCGAGCCATGCTGACGATTGCTTCGTGGCGCTCCTGTTTGCGATCTCGGTCGTGGTCATTGCGTGTCCGTGTGCGCTGGGGCTCGCGACGCCCACGGCGGTCATGGTCGGCTGTGGCGTCGGTGCCAAACACGGCGTCTTGATCAAGGGCGGCCGCGCACTCGAGACCGCGCGCTACGTCGACACGATTGTGTTCGACAAGACGGGCACACTGACCGTCGGCCACTCGTCCGTGCGCGATGTAGTGGTGGCCGACAGCGCGTACACGGCACGCGAACTTCTCTACTACAGCGCATCGCTCGAGTGCGTGAGTGAGCACGTTCTCGGCAAAGCCATTGTCCGGACAGCCGCCGAGTACGAGAAGATGGAGCTGCACGATCCGAGCGACGTGCACGTGGTGCCTGGACGCGGGATCGAAGGCACAGTCGCAGCCAGTGCGGTCACGTCTCGCGCCACACCTGCGACTGTGCTGGTTGGCAACTTGGAGTACTGCGAGGCGAAGGGCATTGAGGTGAGCGACAAGATGCGGGACCAGATGCACGAGCTGGAGCTGGAGGGCAAGACGGTGGTGCTGGTGTGTGTGGCGAACAAGCTCGTGGGTCTGATTGCGCTGGCAGACGCTCCTCGACCGGAAGCGGCCGCGGTCGTGAAGTACCTCAAGTCCATGGGCCTCGACGTGTGGCTGATCACTGGCGATAACTTGCGCACGGCCAGTGCGATTGCTCGCCAGATGGGCATCCACCACGTCAAGGCCGTGGCTCTGCCCGGCGAGAAGGCGGCTCAGATCAAGGCGCTGCAGTCGCAGGTGAACCCGCTAACACTGAAGCCGCGCGTCGTGTGTATGGTCGGCGACGGCATCAACGACGCTCCGGCACTGGCGCAGTCCGACATCGGCATGGCCATTGGGGCCGGCACGCAGATCGCCAAGGCCGAAGCCGACATGGTGTTGGTCAAGAGTGCGCTCACGGACGTGGTGGTGGCGCTCGACTTGGCTCGCGTGGTGTTCGCGCGCATCAAGTTGAACTTTTTCCTCTCGGTCGTCTACAACTTGGTCGGTCTGCCGCTGGCCGCGGGCATCTTCTTCCCGCTGATCCACCGCACGATTCCGCCTGCGTGCGCCGGCCTCGCCATGGCGTTCTCGTCCGTGTCGGTTGTCACGTCGTCGCTGCTGCTGAAGACGTACCAGCCGCCTGTCGTTGGGTCAACGGACAGGAAGAAGGTCTTGTTCCACCAAGACGCAAAGGTGATTGAGCTGACGAGTGCCGTGCGGCACAAGTTTGGCCCCTCGCACAAGACGTACGCGGCCCTGGCAAACTCCGACGAAGTGAGTCCGCGCGTTCGTTGTGGCAAATGCTGATGCGCAGTCGCCGAAGCGGCCACCCACTCGCTGTTGCGCTCCGGCCGCACCTGTCGAGACACAGTGACGTTCCAGCACCTGTGACGTTGTTGATACATGGGATTGTCATTTGCAACGCCATGTGGGGGACCGACCACCAGCGTCTTGACAGTGATAGCGGCATTGTCGACACCGTTCTTTTGGTCTCAGTTATGTGTCCTTTGTCCTCCATGCGTAAGCATTACCCAAAGTGTCTTGAGCACCTGTTTCGATATCTCGACTTTCGCTGACCCTCTTGACGTGCGCTGGAACGCGCCATTCCGCAGCACCTTTGGTGCAATGGGTCTCGCTCGGTCCAACCAGAAGAGACCCGTAGACAGTCGAGAGATCCCCATTGCTGCCCTTCTTCTCGCTGACATATGAGCTTACCGCTTTGTACATTCGATTCGACACTTTGTGCTCCAGTCATGTGCAGGGCAGCAACTCGATGTGTATCGCTGTTTCTCTGCCTTCTTGTTCCTCCAAAAGCCATTCCGCTACCGCTGTGTGTGTGCGCGGAAAGCCTACAGAGGTTGTGCCGGTGCGTCGAGACCCTTATCGGACCGATGCAACGTGCAGTGCAATTGTTGTTTATACCTGTCGAGTACGTACTTTGGATGAGCTGTCAGTTCAACTGCGAAGTCGATTCATCATCATCAGTCGCAAGAACGTCACAGTCACGCGCAAGCGCGTTTTGCATGACTGCATGCGATGCTGCAATTACCATTGTTTCAATGTTGACGACACGGCATTCGCCAGTGATAGTGCTAACGCGCTTGCACGTAATGACATGCGTGAACTAGAACGGACGACTTGCTCGGTTGGGACAGGTGATCTTGACGTGCCGCAAAAACCAAAGCGTAGAAATGCGCTCTTCACTCGCGCTGGACCTCGGCAGCTTGCACATCCCATGCTTTGTACAACTCTAGATGGCCCAGGTAAGATTGAGGGAGCTGTCCACCTCTTCCGCTTGCTCTTTTGCCGGGAAACGCGTGTGGTTGATGCCCACAAGGCGCTGCAGGGTACGAATGACCTGGCAGCTGTAGCCAAACTCGTTGTCGTACCACACGTACAGAATGACCTTGGTGCCATCGACGATCGTGGCCTTGCCGTCCACAGTGCCAGCAGCACGACTGCCGATGAAATCCGACGACGCGACCTCAGCCGAGTTGACGAAATCAATCTGGTTTTGCAGCGGCGAATCCAGCGACATTCTCTGCATGAATGCGTTGACAGCCTCCTTGGTGATTCCCTCCGCCTTGACTGGGTCGAGCTGCACGTTCAAAATAGCCAGCGACACGTTCGGCGTGGGGACGCGGATAGCATTGGCCGTCAGCTTGTCCTTGAGGGAGGGAAGGCACTTGACCACCGCAGCGGCGGCTCCTGTCTCTGTGATCACCATATTCAGCACGGCGCTGCGTCCCCGCCGTTCCTTCATATGGTAATTGTCAATCAAGTTCTGGTCGTTCGTGAACGAGTGCACCGTCTCAATGTGGCCGCCCACGATGCCAAACTTCTGCTCCAGCGCGTGCAACGTCGGCGCAATCGCGTTCGTCGTGCACGACGCTGCCGAGTAAATCGCGTCCGCGCTCGAGATCACGTGGTCGTTCACGCCCGCGACGATCGTAGGCACGTCGCCCTTAGCTGGCGCAGTGAGGATGACGTTCGACACACCTGGCGACTGGAGGTGCAGACCCAGCGCCTCGGCATCGCGCCAGCGTCCCGTATTGTCAATCACCACTGCGTTCGAGATGCCGTACTTGGTGTAGTCGCACTTGTCCGGTCCGTCCGAGTAGATGACCTGGATGAGGTTGCCATTGGCAATGATGGCGTTGGCGTCCTCGTGGAACGTGATGCTGCCGTGGAACGGGCCGTGCACCGAGTCGCGCCGCAACAGACTCGCGCGCTTCATCAGGTCTTCCTTCGTGCCCTTGCGCACGACGATCGCGCGCAGCATGAGCTTCACGCCCGGGCCGCTCTTCTCGATCAGCAGCCGCGCTAAGAGACGGCCGATGCGCCCAAAGCCGTAGAGAATCACGTCGTGCGGTGTCAAGACCGGGGCCGAGACCAGCGGCGCCATCGCTGCGTTCAGCTGCTCGCCCAGCGCGCGCAGGGCCGCGTCGCGCGCCTCGGACGCCGTCTGCGCTTGCACGTCCTGCACGTGGCGCTCGACCGTGACGAACGTGCGGCCAATGTCGATGCGCAGGCCGTGCGCGTGGGGCGCGTGCTGCACGAGCGCTTGGAGGACTACGAGCGTGTCGCTGGGCTGCAGGCGCTTGCCCACGTACTTGCAGACAAAGTTGTGGAGCTTAATGAGCTCGATGCTGTTCTTGTGCACGAGGCCCTTGTCGAAGAGCACCGTCACGACATTGTGCTCGCGGTAGAGGCGGCCGATGAGCGGCACCATGAGGTCGGCCGCGGTCTCCTGCGTCTTCCAGCGCTCGAGCTCTGCGTCGCGCAGCGCGTTGATCTGCGCACTGCTTAGCAGTGGCTCGGCCATGACCCGTGTCTTGTGTCGAGTGGCGATGGGACGGGATGGGACGCGGTTGACGGCTTAGGAGGACGCACTTGCGGCGAGACAGTCGTTCGCGTTCGCTTTCTTTTCGCTCTCTTTTTCGCTCTCTTTTTGCTCTCTTCTGCTTGTGCACGAGGGCGCAGATTGCAGAGTGACGTGCAACAGGCGACGTGGAAGATCGGTGACGTGAGTATTGATTTTGACAGACTTTTGACGGTGGGGGTGGGGACGATGACACGCTGCTCTTATATTTGTTTGAGATGCGATAAGAGGGTGGTATGAATGTATAGAGTGGACGACGGGGATGACACGGCGATGTCGACACCGTGGGATCCGTTCACACCCAATCAGATCGTTTGTTCAGGATCACTTCAGCTTGCGGACTTGCACCCACAGCGACTGACACGACGATCTATTGAACAAGCTCTCGAGCGAGTCGACGCGGGTTGGATACATCTGTGTATACGTATGATGTACCCATGCGCTGGCCAAGCGTTCGTATCGTTCATGTAGGCGCGTTTTGGTAATGCGAACAGTCGTGAGCTCGCCGATGTAGTGATGGGAAGCGAGACGTAGCATCGCAGTTGACAGCCTGCGTCCAATGATACAATGACCAAAAAGCTTCCCAAAAAGAAGTGCAAGAGCTTGTGCAAGAGCTTGGGCGAGAACTTGGGCGAGAACTTGGGCAAGAGCTTGTTCCTAACCGACTGAGGATCTACGACATTCGGACGAGGCTTCGTTTTTGATCCGTAGCGAAGCAGAAGAGTTGCTGTGCACAGGTTGTAAAGCACGTGGCGTTCTCGTTGCAACGACCACTTGTACGCCATGACGCCCGTGTTCGATGCGTTTGCCCGCTTGCATTACGAGCCGCTGTCTTGTTGCACCACAAGGAGGTGCAAGTCCTCTGCAGCTTTGCTTGCAATGCAAAGCTGCCACGAGCACTCGATGCTGTCTTACGAACGCATCTGGTAAGCCTTGCGCATCCCTACCGCACCTCTTGTCGACGAGACGTGCGTTGTAGCAGTTCAGTGCAAAGCAGTGATTGGAGTGGTGATGAATCGTTGCTGACGAAGGCGTCTCGAGAGGAGTCGGCAGTTGCGGACACGAGGTGCGACAGCTCTCTATACCAGTAGCATTGCAAGTTCGTGGGGAAGAAACTACAAAGTCAAGTGAACGTGAGGTTCGATGTTCACTGCCGAGCAAGAAGCAGTCACGCAGTAGCCACCTGCTTTCTTCCTTCTGGCAATCAGCTGGTGCTTGACATGAGCGGTCCTTCGTCCATCCTCAGTCTTTCTTACGTATGGGCGTCACTTCGTGACGTGCTAAAGGACCAATGAGCCACTTGCGATCCAACGTTGCGAGCAGGCACCTGTGCAACGTTCACAAACGCCACGACAAGCACTTCTGGCTCAAATGATCCATTACTTGATCCACCTTTTCAGCAACGCAGCACATGCATACGGGAGGGGGAGCCGCAAGTCATGCAGCCCCAAGCACAGCTAGCAGGCAGGCTCAGCGCGCGCACACTCCAGACACAGCACGACCTCATCAGCCCCCCCCCCCCGCGTCCAGGCCGTGCACATCCAGCTGCCATCATATCCAAAAGCACCAGCACGCGCGTCTTCCCGTCCTCTCCTCTTCCCGTCATCTCTCATCATCTCCGTCCTCCTCCAGCTCATGCGCCACCTACGTGACTTTCTTCGAGACGAGCGCAATGACGATCCCAATCGCGCCGAGCGTCGCAACGTGCAGCCACGTCGACGCTGAAAAGAACGGGCAGTTGCTCAGACTGTCGTAGGGCAAGTGCTCTGGCGGGCGCATGGGGCAGCCGGTCCGGAGTGTGGCTTCGCGCAGACGCGCCATCTCAATGGCCGTCTGCGCCCACTCGGTGCCGTGGTTGTGGCCCTTGTCCGAGAGCCCCGCGCGGTCCTTCGCCTGCTGCTCGTTGAGCACCGTCAGCACGCCAAAGAGCACGGGCACGTTCGTGTCGAGCTGCACGCGCATGAGGCCCTGCGACACGGCGTCGCAGATGTACTCAAAGTGCATCGTGTCGCCCTTGATGAGGCAGCCAATACAAATGACTGCGTCGAGTTTCTGCGACAGAATCAGTCGGTTCGCCGCGTACGGCAACTCGTAGGCGCCCGAGACCGCGACGGCGACCACGTCGCACGCGGCGACGCCCGCGCGCAGGAGCTCCGTCTGCGCCGCGGCCACGAGCGCGTTCACGACCTCTGCGTTCCACTGCGCGTGCACGATGGCCACGCGCAGTCCCTTGCCGTCTGTCTTGCGGCTGCTGAGGGCAGCGAGCGCGTGCTGCTTCATGTCCATGAGCAGCAGTGGGTCGTGGGTTGAGGGACTAATGGGCAGTGCGGTCGCTGGTGGGGGGCGGAGTGATAGTCAGTGGGGGCGGAGTGATGGTCAGTGCGGGCGGAGTGATGGTCAGTGAGTTCGGAGTGATGGTCAGTGAGGGCGGGGTGATGGTCAGTGAGGGCGGAGTGATGTCGCGTTTTGGGTTGTGGCCGACTTGATCCGCTGACTGTGGGATCCACGTGCGACTAGATTAGTGTGGACCACGGCGAAGTCGGTCGGGCGGTCCGATTGGACGGGACGCCTCTCCTGTGACTGGACAAAATGAGGCCAACGACTTGCGCCCGCGTGGCTTCAAGCTGGTGTGATGCAGCAGCCCCTACGAGCCAACGCGCTCTCCCGTGGCCGGTCGTGGACTGCGGCATGTCGCAGTTGCTAGACCGGTGTCGTCAGAGCACACTCTACCGCAACTGCATCTACAGAAGACGTTGTTCGTACTGCACTCACGCTCCTTGATGCATTGTCGCGGCCCTTGGTCCACTTGGCAGACCTTCTGCCTCAGCATTGCCTGCTAGCGCACGAGGCCACTGCTCACAACAAAAACCACATGACTGCCGCGACACTCGAACATCTTTGCTAAAAATGTCTCTGTGCCATATTGGACTGTAGAAGTCTTTCAGATACGCATACGTACTACCAGTCTCTTCGTGAGAAGGTCGCGACTCTGACACCCTTGTCAAGTTGATCATCGTGATAAGCGAAACGCATCTGAGACGATGCAGCGCCGTCCGCCGTTCGACGCACGACAGCTTCTTTTCGCGACTTGATCTGGACGTGTTGCTCCTGATAGGTCGGGAGGGAGGAGATGACGAGCGCAATTGACTGGGAGTTGCTACTGCGGCTCTGGACTCTGCTTTCGACACGAACGTTCTTGTTCGTGGTAGAAGTAGTTGTAGTTGAGCTCAGTCACGATCTCGTTTACGTGAGGGAACGCGCCGTGCTTTTGCATAGCCGTCAGCATCACCACTAAAACATGTGACTGCCGCTTGAACTCACGTGAGCGCCTCGTCATTTCGGAGTAAAGTGTGCGAAAGTCAGGGTGATCAAGTATTCGGACGCCTGGCACCGCGCGAGTCCGCATCTCCGGTTCCGGCCCACTCACATCTTCATTCCGGTGACCGGGTAAATATGCGTGCATGTTTCGGTCCACCGCGCAGACGAACTCTTCGACGTGACCCACGAAGCGCAGTATATGGTTGAAGGTTGTGAGGATGTAGCGAATAACGCTCGCGTGCTGTAAAGAGCAGTTTGCAAACAGACCATGTCAGAACGCTTGTTGAGTCCCGAAAGCAGCAAACACGGCTTGTCACCTTATCAAGTAGAAAGAAGCGGTTCAGCAGGTAGTCCAGGTACTCTTCATGTACAGTATTCATCTAGTTTGTGCAAATCGAGGCACCAGAAGGTCCGGTCAGTGCGCAATCCCACCGCAAACGGCAAATGCAAGTAAGACTCACCTCGGCTAAGCTACGTGACGACTGAAGAACGTGACGATACTCAAGCCATTTCTTGCATGATACCTACGATGAACAAAGTGTGATTATAAGTAGCGTCGACCTTGCGACTTTGTTCCTGAAAAGCTCTTTCGTACCTGACTGGTGAGATAATGTAGTAAACTCTTGGTGTAATGCAGCATATCGGCAATTCGAAGGAGCAGCTGTCGCATGTCGTCCTCAATTCTAATGGACGCCATCGCATAACGAGTCATGGTGAATATACGTGAAACAGAAAAGTCGGAGACTATCGAACACGTACAATGTGTAGCAGCGACGATGCCGAAGTGTTGACTTGAGCTGCGCACGAGACACATATTTTTTGCAAAGACACGTCAGCAAGCGCACGAGCAAGTCTCGATACGTTTGTTTTGTACCTTGACCAGGACCGACTCCACTGCCTTCACCTGGACGAGTAACACTCCGATTCTTGAGTATTTATGCATGATCGATGTGCTGAAAAGAACACGAAGTGGATGTTGCACAAAATAGGCGAAGTGCACACAATTCATCGTCGCAATATCGATGCTTGCACCGCCAGTGGAACTATCCAGCAAGCTGAAATCGATGTGAGCACATAGCTGGCCACCAAGTTGCCGCTGCAACAACGACAGCGAGTTGTCTTCGCATACTTCTTGGACTGCACTCTGGTGGAATGAGTTGATCATGTCACTATCAGCCCATGTGACGGGATTTTGCTGCATGTGAGTCACCATTTGTTCACTGAAAGTGCCAAAGAAGTCTTGCTGTAATGCTCGTACCATCGACATGTAAGAACCGGTCAGCAAAACCAATTCAGGTATAGAAGGCTTACCTGCTCCATGAGCACAAACATTCGAAGGGCATCCAAGTGCGCCATGTAGTTCATCTCATCGCGAAAGATGTCCGTGACCTCGCCATTTAGTTCGCGACACTACGATGCATACACACGGTCAACTATACCACCAACAACGCTCGTCATGGTCAATAACGATATGACAAGCGTGCGCACCTTCATCTCAAGATGTCTCGTGAGACAACGTTCGATGAGGCAGTTGAATGGCACGCTCTCCAGCATTGTTTGTTGCGACGAAGTTGAGACGTCTTCATTGTTTGCAGTTGAACGAGTAGCCGATGACATAATGTCGCTGTACCGTTTGCTTCCCATCGTCCTGAGTTCAGCTGTTTGCAAATCGTGTAACGGCAAACGATCTTGCTTAGCTTTCGTCAGTGTTTCTTCTACCGAATGCTGATGCAAAAAGCAGTTCACCAGCATTTGTCGGCTTGCCAATGCTTCGATCATCAGATCCATCTTCGGTCTGAGAAACGTCGGGACGACACCACGATTCAATTCGAATGGAGCCAGAGACAGCAGTCCATCTTGAAAGCTGTGAAATCTTCCACGTGTTGGAGCCCCTCCGATACACGCTGATACCGTTGTGGTAAAGAACAACTCATCGTTCAGAGGTATCGTCTTAAAACATCCTACGTCAAAGATCGTTTGATTGATCAGATCCAAATAAGGACTCAGCGCCCCGCAAAACAAATGCAAGAGCACGTCGGACCGTGATAATTGGCATGCAGTACGCGAACTTGCAGCATCTGTCACGCCTTCCACGTATTCAGTCTCTATCGCACGATAGAGCGAATCGAGCACATACTTGGCTTGCTCAGCGCGCTTGACTTCGTACCAATGTTGACTCGACAACGCATCAAACGATTTCACTAATACTCTCTTTAGCCACGAAACTGTTCCAAAAATCTCCTTGAGGCCACCGAATATACCAAGCAAAGTCGGCTGTCGTGTATTGATCCCACACCACGGACGCGGATCGTTTTCTCGTTCTCCTGCTGCGTCTCTGGTTTGACGCTCGACAGTGTGGATGGACCCACTCAAGTTTCTCATAACTTCTGACAGCGCATTAGCTAGGCCTTCCAAGGTCAAACATCGACAATGCTCATTCGAGCCTCCCGCTTGGCGTATAGATTCAAGCAAATCTCGAAGCAATTGCAACTCGGACGCCGCCTGCGCAAAACTTTCTAGAATACTGTGGAAAGCCGATGGTGAGAGGTGACCGAGGGCCACGTGTAAGGACCGTCGCGATCGTTTTACCACCTTGGTCCGAAAATCAATACTGAAGATCGAAGGCGTGGGTGTGACCAGACAAAATTCAAACAAGAGCGAGTCAACTCCGTGCAGCGCCTCGAACACCATGTTCACCGCTGCCTTCTCTTGCATCAGTCTTCGAGGTGACATCTTGCTTTGGGTCGATCTGCCGCTGCTTGCAATTTTTGCCACCGCTCCACACAACAGCCATGGCCGTTCCAATGTAAACGGTACTGGCGCTCTCGTCTCCAGCTCGCACGTTGGGTCATCTGCCACTATTTCTCCATCTTGAAACGTAACTTTGGGGTAATAACGACACAACATTTCGTCCTGTATCGTCTCGTCATCTTCCAAAGCTTCTAGTTGTTTTCTTTTGTCCGTCGCCACTTTGCTATCCACAAAGTCGAGCGACGTGCTTGTGACGATATTCTTTTTCATACGGTCGTTTTCTTCTGCATCCACCTGTAAACTCGTATCACTGCATTGCACTGTTCTACCAGTACGCATACCGTCCATTGCAGCACAATCATCTTCGCTGCTCATCTCGTCGTTGCTCTCGTCCTCACTATTGTCCCAGGCTTGGTACCACTCGTCACGAGTGGCAATCTGTTGCAGCTCATCACACAGCTGGTGCTCCGCCACCTCCTGTTTCTCTCGCCTCAGTCGCTCTTGCTGCAGCACGACGTTCCACTCAATCTGCGAGTCCTGATCCACTGCCACTTCTTCGTCCGTTGCAGTCGTGGGAGACGTCGCTAGCGCCAGCAAGAGCTTCAGCACTTGGTAGTCACATTCCTCAGCCAATCGCAAGAGTTTGTCAGCGCGATCTTCCAGCGAATGGATGCTAAACTTAGTGGCAAGCGCTTTCGTCTGCGTCTGGACGTCCTGCGGCACACAATCCACGAACAAATGCGCGCCCAGCTGCCCCACAACGCGGTTGACGCGCACAAACAGCTCCTGCTGTGATAGCGGCAGATGATCCACTACGTTTCGCTCACGAACGTCATGAATACGCACGCAGAGCTGCTCAGCAAGCGGCCGCAACTCTCGGGTCCATGCTGCCATCGTCTTTGTCGAGCTTTTTTCAGTATAGTGACGTGTTATTATTTTGCACCAGACTGTTTCGATCACGGGGTCAGGTTGAAGTGGAAATGGCTACACTCTTCGGACTCGACGAGGTGTTTCAAGGTTGTTGATGTGTAAGAGAAGAGCTACCGAGTGACCGCAAACAACGAGTGACCGAAATGACGCTGGAACTTGATCTCGGGTCCTACGGATCCACTTGACCGACAGAGCAATTCGATCGGAAGCGTACATGCACCAGCACGATCATCTCGGAGCACCGAGGCCAGTCTCGACTCTGCTTGCTTCCAGAAACAGATGGAGAGCAGATAGATGTAGTGCAACTACAGCAGTATGTGGTGCCTTTTACCACTCGGTATACTTGCCGGCGACCCCACATATTGCTGATTGGTATCGCTTTATAATGCATTACAAATTCAGCAACAGCTTTTCCGTGTAGATGTACGACTCACTGTTGCTAGAAAGCACACTCTGACACCTATTGCGGTATTACTAGGCTAGAAATGCCGTTTTGCATTCAATGCCATGTTATGTTATGTGAACCATAAGCCGCGATGTCGCGGCACATCACTGAACAACTGCTTGCCGAACACATAGAAATGCAAATGTCAACATCGTCGCTGTGCTCAAACACGTGCGTCAAAACGTTAGGTGAGAGAAATCTTGTAGCTGACTAAACGAGTTGCACTCCTCGGCGACGATGCCGGAGACAAACACACGCTGATGGGTCATCTCGCTATTGCCTCGCGGTTTGCTCGCATGAAATGCATGTTTTTGTCGTACTATTTGCGTTTGGCAAACTGGATGGTCAGACGTAATGTCTCCTCTCGTTGAATGTAAACATGCCCCAAAATATTTCCATTTTGAAGGTGCTCCTATCGTTTTCTTCGCTTGATACGTCAGTCTGGCGGGCTACCTACCATCTCTAGATCGAGCTATTGGGGTCTCTATTCTCGGATCGTATCACAGAATAGCGTCGACGCGGTCGATAGAAACGTCCGCATCAGTCAGTGCGTCCGCCATTAGAAACGCCACAACGGTCGATCCAAACGGGCAGTCGCCGACTGTTCGCGGATTCGGGTCCTCCCGAGAAACACTCGAGGCATACTGTCGGTCCAAATGTAGCCATCTATGTGTCCATCCATTTTTCCACCTCAACGCATTCGACGCTCATTTCGGAACTTCCCTCCCAGCGCAATGAGCGAACCGAGTGCAACATGGAGCAAAGAGACAGTGCTCCAGGCGTTCGAAGCCTCGGGCAACCTCAAGTTTCTCGAGCACGTGAATCTGTCCAACACGGAAAAGTGCACGGAACACGCGCCGGCCTTTATCTTTTACATGCGGGGCCTGCAATGCGCGCGGGACCCGCGTCTCGCTTACCACTTTTGGGCCAACTTTGCGGGTCGCCACCAGTTCCACTTGTTTACGAGCCAGCGCAAGAGCGAGTGCATCAACGCCTCGATCTATCTCTACGTGCCGGACTTGGACGCGATCGAGAAGAGCTTAGCGTCCGTGGCGGACGAACTGCAGGGCACCAAATTTGCGGTCGAGCGCTTGAATCGCGGCGGAGAGACGACGCGCGCGTACCCACAGGAGCAATGGCACGAGCTGTTTGATACGATGAAGTACGACCACCTCAAGGTGAACGACCCGTACGGGAACGAGTTGCGGCTCCACGTGACGCCTCGCAATTACCACTCAATCAACATGTCGCTGGGCAAGACGCTGCCGGTACAGAACGACACGGACGGCGTGGCGCAAGGCTTGCCGTTTCTGCTGTACCCGTGTCGACCGGGCATTGCTCAAGGCATTTCACGCTTCTTTGAGCACTACTTGGGTGCCAAGACAGTCGTGACAAAGAAGGAGGGCGAGGAAAACCTCTACCGCACATCAGTGTTCTGTGGTCCGCTGCAAACGATAGTGTTTGACGAGCAGGAGTCTCAGCGGGACAACAAGGGCGAGTATGATGGCCACCACGTATGTATCCACATTGACCGCTTCAAAGAGTTTTACGACAAGGCGTACAATGATTCCATGCAGTGGAACAATGAGCTCTTCTTTGACCGTTGTGATACCTGGTTGGAAGCCAATCGGGACCAGCAGTACCGCATCTTGCACTTGGTTGACCCCCTGGACAGAACATTTCTCATGTCTTTCGAAATGGAGATCCGCTCGACGCAACACTTTCGCTATCCCATCCACCGCAGTGACGTGACCCCGGAGGAGGAAGCTGCGAATGAAGTGCTCCGCAGAAAGAATCTGTAGAGTTGTGCTGCAGTATTTCGAGACGTGCTATCGCTGTGTTGCAACGTGACTAGGGCTCTGTCGATGAACCGATAATACATGGCGGCTGTATGCTCACCTTTACTTCTCGACAGGCCTCATGTTGCATTGACGGTCATCCAGCTTTGCTGTAGCTAGATGCAGACCAACTTCAGCATGTCTTGAGTCACAGTGGAGAAGCTTCAGGTAACGTCTGGAGCAATAACGCCGCGATACACCGACGGTACAACCTGTGCTACCCAAAATGCTTTGTCGACGGTACCATGTTGAGTCCGTGTTACTTGGTATAGACCGTCGATCAAGCCGAGAGAGAGGCCAAGTTGGTGCCAGATACTATCTGCCGTACACATCACGGACGGCGGCAGATTCTGCACGCGATGAGTGATGGATCCAATGACACGCCTCGCAAGCGCAGGCCGTCTGCGTCAAAGTGGTGCAATCTGCAAGCAAGAAGGGAGCAGCGGACCAGCAACTTGCCTGCGTTGCATAGTACTCTCACTGCGGAACGTACCTCAGCCTGACGTTTTGTGGTGACGACTGTTCTTCTGCAGCAGCTAGCTTTGCCGGGAGCTCCCAGAGTATGTACTTGTCCAACTAGTACATGGCTTGTCAAAGAACCACGTGCGCACGGTCATCTTGTGCACATTGATGTCCATGACAGCTGCGTCTCCCTTGCAGGGAACAAAATGATGATCTAGACTACAATGTCAGTCACTCAGTGCTGCAGGATAATTGTAGCACGAAGCACCGCGCGGAGCTACAAAGCATTGCAGCAGTGGCATCACACCAACTCGACCCTGGATCAGGAACAGGCCAGAAAGCCAACATCCCGACTTGTTGGCTCGCAATAGGCCAGGCTGGTGTTTCTCGCAGCGTTGTACACACAAGAAGGCTGTCATCGCTGAACTCACGAACGAAGTACACAAGTACCAACGGCAGCTCTCGAGTCCTGGAAAGGTGCGCTGAGATTGTGCGCCGTCTTGCGTCGGAGGTACCGCTTCGACAACTGCTGTCATCGAAGAGAGCTGCGTGAGATCAGTGAGCTCAAGTCCAAGTGTAGTAACGGCTAATGCCTTGATTATGATAAAGCTCTGGATGCCCTCGAGATCGCCATCAGCTCTTCCAGAAGCGGCTCCAGCTCGTCAATCGGCAGCATTGTCGCTGCGTCACACAACGCCTTTTCCGGATCAAGATGCGTCTCAAAAAAGAATCCATCCACACCGACTGCTGCAGCCATTCTCGCAATGGCCGGGATGAACTTGCGGTCTCCTCCACTCGTAGTGACGTGAGCATTTGCGATGCTTGGTCGCTGAATACTGCACCATGCAAAGACCGAATCAGCAAACAGTCGATACTAGCTGCCTCACAGAAACTGCATACAACACCTGTGCGTAACATCTTGGACAACGAGACCGTTGGATCGTCGCAGCTTTGGCAGATTTCTCACGTCTACTACCAAGTCCCCATAACCAAACATACTTCCACGTTCTGTCAAAATGAGAGCTAAAAACAACATACAACCGTCCACAAGGTTCAGTACAAGTATCACGAACACCACGAGCACGAGCTGCCGTGATATACCGTCGACGTACTATCGTCGCCTTGTGTGACAGCCACTTTCTTCGCAGCCAGCAGCTACAGAAGAACGAGAAAAGACCGTTCAGACCAACAGCCACGTCAAGCGAACGAACGAGCCCTGCACCGAACCAGCTGCAAGCATCAGCCAAATGGACGCACCATGGTCTCAGCTGAGAGCATCTGTCCCTTCTTGAGGTTCACGAGTCGTCCAGACTTGGCAGCAGACACCAGCAAATCAGTCTGACGACAGAGAAAAGCTGGAATCTGAATGATGTCGGCGACTTCGGCCACTGTCGCCACTTGGTGCGTCTCGTGGACGTCCGTAAGCACGGGCAGTCCCGTGCCGTCCTTCACGAGTTGCAGCATCTCCAGTCCCCGTTGCAGTCCCGGTCCTCGATAACTCGTCAAGTCCTGACGATTGGCCTTGTCGAAACTCCCCTTGAAGACAACCGGAATGTCCAGGCGTTGCTGGACTGCTGCCAAGCTACACACAACGAAGTCGACTCAGAAAACGAATGGTGCACCTAGCACATTGACAGGCGGTTGGTCTTGTTGGCAATGGGATGGGTACATAAGCGCCCACCGATGGGCGATGTCCAGGACCAGCTGCTCGGACTCTAATGCACATGGACCAGCAATAACGAAGAACGGAGACGCCTCACGCAGCGTCTTGGCCAACACACGGCGGTGCATGTCGACGGTGGCACAGAGAATGGAACAGCACGCGCGTTTTGTTTGGTTCTGCTAAAACATGTGGGAAAACAACGCGGAACTTTGCAAAGTGCGTTTGCCGAAAAAAGCACTTTGCTGCTACAGTGTCGATCGCAAATGATTAGTGTGGTGCTTGCAGGCGCTTGACACAGTTGACTTTTGTATCTAGTAAATGACCGTGACAAATAACCGTCGAATGATAGCGTGATAGACCAACAGAGGCGTGAGGATGCTATGGATGGAGCGCTTGCACATTACAATCGATGAAACCTCCAGGTGAGATGTAGGCATTGAAAACTCCATGCGAGCAACCAACCAACAGTGGTAAAGGCTCGGACGCACAAACTTCCGTAGTCTACGGTATTAGATGGATGTTGAAATAGCTCACAGTGCAGTTCGTTAATCAAAGAAGGCGATCCCTTGGCGGGAGGCCGTGAAGTGCATAGTATGACCCTTTTGACGGATATCGACACACCTATACAGTGAACGATAGCGTGAGACTCGAGCAGTAAAGTGATGATGACACCGCTCACATGCACGATGTCATCGACCAGGAGCCCGGTCGAAACCAGTAGGCGTTGAGCAGCACAGAGTTGTTAACTAAAGACATAGCGATAACGTGCTTTTGTGTGCTCGGTCACAGACACCACGTCTGTTAGCAACTGTTGTGTTGAAGATGGAAACCCTGTAGACGGTTGTACATAGTGCTGACGTGATTGTCATTGTTTCAGAGAATAGACGAAATCTGTAGAGGATCACGAGATACGACGATGGTGTGCGTGTTGTGATTAAGGCAACTCGCAGGGACAGTGGTATTCGAACGTTCTGGAGTGAGCGATCAGTTTACGAGGGGGTCTATACATTCACTCAGTAGTATTTAACTCTTTGTACTACTTTCCGTTATGCAGCACAGAGAAGTAGTTAGCTTTCGTTATAAATTCGTGGTTGAGCAGCTGTCGTCGTGCGGGACAAGAATGGTCTCCAGACGCATTGTTTTGGTCGATTCTTCAGTTTGAAGTGGCGAGCTCGGTACGTATCTATGTTTTCAAGTTAAGTTTCGCTTTTCATTTCACACCCTATTTTGTAGAGTTCTTCCTCTGTAATTTGACAGTGACGCGTTGACCCCTCGAACATGACCTTCGCCTGATCCTTGTTTACGCCCGACGTTTAATTAAGTCGTGCAAAATCGACGCGGACGTCGCGGCATAGTTTTAAGTTCATGAGCGTGCCTTCCAATGCGGACCTCATGCAAAGCATGATTGCGATGGTGGTGAAGCAACAAGAAACGACGCGAAAAATGTCCAAAGTGATAACGCTAATAGACCTACGACTTGACGCGGTGAAGTCAACATGCTACACTGGATAAGTCCAAGAGTCGACTACGTTGTTCAAGGAGTAAGTGCATCGGTTTTTCAAAGTTAAGCGTGTCGAGTGGAAGAACGCGATGATAGCTGCAGCGATAGTCCCGGCTTCGATAGTATGTTCATTGCCACCGCTGCAGAATGGTCTGTCTGGTCGCTCGGGTGGCTGTGAATGTAACGGGGTGAGTTCGTTACATAAAATCTATACGAAGGTATCAATTTTTGAATAATATCTATTTAGATAATTATAATCAACATTACTCTAGAAGAGGTAATGTTGGCAGAATATTGCCCCCGACGGTGATATTCATGGATTTTCCACTTATTGGTAGATGTGGCCGCTACATCAACCAAAATAACCACCATTCGATGCTGGACGCGTGTAATGGGTAGTGAGCAAGAAACCCACATAGTGAACTGTAGTTCAATGTAGTTAGATTAAGACAAAGATGGTTTGTTAACGGAATTGACAAATAAAATGCAGTTCTACTTTTTCCTCAAACAGAGCTTCCGAGTTCTGTCTACTTCCTCGTGCTTTCTCACGCCATGTGTACGTGACGTCGGGAGTTTGCAGCCTTGCGTTCCATTCATACAATGTCTTACCATTCATCTGGATAGAGCTTGCCCCGTTACAGTGACTGTATACGATCAGCTTTTACTTAAAGCAAGAAAGAGTACCCAAGTATATACAGATCTGTCGCTGCGGTTGTCTTAAAAAACTCACTCAAGCAGTGCCGAGACCATGTAAGCAGTGCCGAGACCATGTAGGATTTTACCCTATTTTGCAACAGCTTATAATTAAAGAGCGCAACACGAGTTATCTCGGCTCAGTCTTGTGCTAAACACAATGTTTAAAGCATCAAACATGTGACGAAGTCGAATATCGCCGCTACTCGTCCTAGTCCATTCATGTCGCATATGACGTGGACATTTGATATCTAACGTAGGAGGCTAGAGGCGTGTCGCAAATCTTTGCCGAACAGAGCTGAACGCTCTTCAACACTTCTAGGGTTCACAACCTGAGCCGGTGAATATTAACGACGCGGTAAAATAAGCTGTCTGGAAAAGAATGATTACAACGCTCCTTGTGCTTCTATTGCAAGCAGCTTGAACATCGGCTTTCCGGGAAATCCTACTCGGCCAATACCTCAAAAAATACCGCGATAACACGCCTATATTGGTGTAACCGAGGATGCCCAAGACCTAGTTAGAGTTGACCCCGGTGCGATAGTGTACGATCAATGCGTGACCATCCAATTTGTGAATAAGTATCATTCACTATTAAACAATGACGGAAATATTGTGAGGATGGAGGTATGTACAAATTGTTTAGCTATGCTGTCTGCTCTGTGAAAATATAGAGATAAACTCTTGTCCACTCCAAAACACTTGTATCGTCTCACGTCATGTCTTTGCTACGTCCTGATTTTTTCTAATTAATTTTGGCGTTCAGGGTGATGTCTGTCTGTTCCATGATGATCACCTGACGTATATATAAAGTGTCGTGGTCTACAAATTCCTGTGTCTTGGTCATAACATGCACATGAATAAATGTAGGTTCTTTCTGAACATACACATAATCCGAACTGTCGTGCTTACCTGTGGCCGTAACATTCTTTCGGATTCAAACGATCGTCGTTAGAGTTGAAGTCGACAATGAGTGCTTCACAATGGGAGACGTGGCGAATGTTCCGATCACGCTTCCAAGTTGCTTCGAGTTTGGATTCCCCGTGCTACCAAACTAGCCATTTGGGCTGCCGATCAAACCTTCGTTAGTTCAGCAAGTTGTCCACCATTCGCAAGAGATTTGGCGGTTCGTCGCTGACTAGCTTATAAGACTTGGGTATCATTCGGCTAAAAGCGTGTCGCAAATTTAGACGTAGGCGGATTACACGTCGACCTTGATAATATGATTCATTCGGATTACCTATCGTGGCAGAGCCAACTTGGCCATGTTTTGAATGGTCATCCGAATGAACTTGAATGGTTCAATCTTGCGCGCATCAAATTTTGCTCGTTTCATTTCCGCATCCTTCGCGGTGTGAGTTAGTGGCATGCGACTTGTATCTACCATGACGAGGTCTCCTTGATTGAATACAATCTGATGAGCGTGATGCTTCTTATCGTATTCCTTATATTACGTTTCTTGAGATTTAGGCAAGTTCTGCCTAACTCGCAAGGTTAGCTTATGCTTATCTCCCCTGATTATACTTTGGCATATACAGCGACATTTTTAGTCTGTGCTTGTAAATGTATCGTTTGTTCCCACACATTTCAATCTTTGTGGCCTGTGTCGATTTTGAACAGCGAGAACATGGTGAATAAGCAAACAGTCGCAGTATGGGGATAATTGATATCTCCCAGTCAATGAACCCCAGTCACTTCCTTGATATGGTATCATGCACCTGAAGATCGTCCTCGACGACTGAGTTATGTCTGTATATTGATTCGTCTGCTTGGGCTTGACGAGTTGCAGTCATGCTGAGTTTAATTGTAATTATCGGCATTAGTTTCTTTTAAAATTCGAAGGAAACCTGCTGTCTCGGTCACTAATAACGACTTTGGTCAATCCGTGATGACGATCGACAGCATTAAAACCGCTTAGCTACATCAGCTACGTCGTCGTTTGTGTACAGAGCGGCAAACTTGATTCATTTATAAAACTTATTGACGACAGTCATGATAGGATAAAATCCTTTCGACTTAAGCAGACCAGTAATGAAATCTATCGTCACTACTTGATATCATACTTATGTGATCAAGATTGACATCATCAATCATTTCCTACATACTTTGCCGCGTTTCCAAAGCGTAAAAGTATCACATAGATTAACGTACTCCTTGGCGTCTCTTTAGATCATTTTCCAGTAGTATCACTGGGCGATGCGCAGAAACGTGCGGTGACTTCCAGGGTGCATTAAACAATTTTGCATGATAATGTTTCGCGATATTTCGAGATTGCTGCCAATTGTCGGCTGGGACGCAAAGTAGCTTGGTTTTGATCGAAAACTTGATAAAGCGGACACCATGTGTCTTGACGAGTTGCCAATCCCACGTACTCCACATCTTCTCTGTGCTGAGCTAAATTCGGGTATTTTGCGATTTCCTAGTTGAAAGTCGTGTTTGGATTCCAGTGCCAGCTCGACGCGTGACGCGGCCATCATGTTTCCGATAACATTACCTTCACTCCCCTGTCTCCGCAGAGATAGCGTCGAGGATGGAGGACCGAAACAAGACGCATGCGACGCACATGATGCTGTGCAACGACTGGAAGCCACCGCAGAAAACTGTCAATTCAGCTCGCTATGGCGGAGTGATAAGGCGTCGGCAATGAATATGAGAGTATATGGACGCGATGGGTTGTAACATCAATTTGGCCAAAAGGTTTAGATTACGAGCCAGATTTGAGCAAGCTTGATCATGATGGAGCAACCACAAACACGTCGGTCTGCAATACGGTCTATTTTCAACGCCAGCAATGTCTGGGAACAGTGGAAGCCCATGATAAGTCTCAACTACAGGCAGTCCAGGAGAATCCTCGTCTCTGAGACACTCAGTAAATCGACGAAGCTCTTACTAGCTTGACCGTGCCGCTTCTCGACATTGAGACAATTCCTGTGC